CTTGAGCCATTGTGGATTTTCCCCAAAACCCCCCTATGAAGACTTGGTGAGGGGTGTGAATTCCTATCAATGAACAGCTTCGCGTGCCTTCAAGGACTTAGGGTTGGCTCTGATGTTAAAAACTACGTAAAGCTCCCATTGCTCTAGTCTTGAACGTTTAATGTGCCCCCTTCAGAAAACTTGGTGGAAGATGTTCGAGCATTTTGAGAGATATGTTGCTACCTTTTGACAATTGGGACATCCTGCATGCACCAGTAGGGGAAAAAAAACAATGTAAATATAGTATTATAGAAGCATGTAGTTGCTGGCACAATACAAAACAATGCAAGACAACATCAACATAAATTAAGACAAAAGAAAAGTGGAGCAATCATGTCAGATGCAGTTTCTACTTCATATTTGATCAGTTATCATTACATGCCCTGTAGCACCCCCAAAGAAAATCACACACTTTGTTTGGGTCAAAATCATCCCGCCGGGTCGGAAGTGGAACGTGGCGGTGAGTGGATTTTGCAATTTCATTCTTTGTGCAAACCATGGTATTTACATGTATTTACAATGTTTTCTGATGTACGAATTGGTTTTTGACCCGGTAGCAAAATCATGAACTCAAAAAATTGTACAGTGTCAAAGCTGACACTTTTTGTGGTCCGTTGGTGCCATCAGTCATCCGCCATCTGCGGCTCTCCCCGGAGTCCCAAAGCTGATTGACCAGCGATGCCTTCCTTGGTCCCATAGTGATAGTGCATCTGACGAGATACCCTAACCTGCACCAGCCAGATTGGAAATGCCAGCACCTGAGCTGCAACACCATCTGCAGGTGTCGGATGTGTGGATCTGAGCCCTCAAATGATCCTTATCCAATGGACGAAGAAATCTGGTCGTGTTTTTAGCTTTTCAATGGAATATGTTCAGATATCCCCATTGGACACACCCAGAAACATGGGTTGAATAATATGGATAATATAGATATTTATAATATAATTATACAATATTATATATGGATTATACAGTACATGGTTGATATTCCCCAAGAATGTTTTCTTGGAGTATGTGAAAATCATCAATAATATTTCATCAATCAAACACAGACCTCAACTCTGAAGCTACCAACACAGACCTGATGGTGAAAAAAACCTGGCCCAGCTGAGAGCCACACAAAACCTCCTTAAAGCGTGGCATGACCAAGGCCAGGACCTTGCACAAGAGACAGGATGGCATAACTGTTGGGTTATGTATGTGTATGTGTATATATGTATATATAATATGTACATATACATATTATATATACACATATTATACGTGTATATATATAATAATATATACACATATATAGTAGCCATCAAAAATGAAGTGGGTCATGAGGACATGCCATTTCCAGACATATTTGAAAGTAAAAAAAATGATGTCAAATAAAACGTGTAGGGAGTTCAGGAAAAGTGTTTCTTTGGGTCTTCGATTGTGCTCTTGAATTAGTTGCAGGCTCCCATCTGTATTTCTAGAGTTCTCTGTAGGAGCCTGACAAATGTGATCATGTCAGGTTTTAAGCCTCCAATTATGAGAGTCCCCCACTCTTGACCCATATCCCCAGCATCCCGAAAAGCCACTGCAATCACCCTTCTGCGATACCTGATCCGCAACCTTGTGAATGCCTTCATCCGATTGATGAGTTACCTGCAGCTGATGCAAAGTGCCAAAATTAGCTAAGTTGGCAGTCCTGATACAGAATGGAAAAATGGTTCCCAAGTTTTGAAGCAGGACCTGACTCACACAAACTTCAAGAGTGTCGCTGATGGACCAAGGTGGTCCCTGCATTTCCCTGCCTTTGCTTGGAGAGTGGCTTCTTGAATGTTTGCACGGACAGTTTTGAGACTGTCCTGGCTGGAGAAGCACATTTTGTCTCAAAGTCTCCGAATGATCAGAATGTCTGAGCCAGCATCTGAGAGCTTGAAAAATCTCATTTCACCACTACGCCCCGGCCATGCACAAACTCCATTATGATTATGCTGTTGAACGGGGTGTTGCAGGTTCACACCCCGCTCCTGCCAGCGATTGGGATAACCAGCTTCGAGCATGTAGCGCAGGGCAACCAGACCGCTGTACTGGACCTGGCAAACGCAGGGATCTGGGCATCTGCCACTTCCACATCACAAGGCTGCCCACCTCGCGGCCCTTTAAGCACAAAGCGAGCGCAGCCAAGACACCTAAGATCGCCCCGACCCAATTCCCAGTGTTGTTTGCATTGTTTCTAGCTTGAGACGATTGGCCCGCCATGACCAGTTGGAATGAGAACTATCCTGCTTTCCAACTGGATTCCTTCAATCAGACCCCTTGTCAGAGTCTCCCTCGTGGCTTTTCTCTGGCAGAAAGATCTGGTTTTTGATGATAGCAGTGCAAAAAAAGGACCTCATCTGTCAATCCTTATAAGTTATCCCTGGCCGCATGTGGTCATAGCACCCCCCCAATGAGACCTGGGGAATCTCCCAATGGGCGGTGAGTTTCTTCAATACTGTCAATTTTGACTGTGTATACCCTGACAATAATTTTCCCATTTCAAATGGTTTCTTGGTGCTATACCCCATTTTCAGACACAACCATATGTGCCATGGTTAAAAGTGATTGTATATGGTATGGTCGTCCATCCCAGAATGGAGAATCCAAAGATCATGGGTATGTTTGAATCCCTATGAAATGAAATGATTATTCCCGTCCCCCAAGGACTGGGTCAATCTAATCTAACTTTATGGCCATCACTTGTGCTATGCCCCAAACTCTTTTGGGATGATTGTCGGGAACCTCATTTTTGGTAACCCTTACAATACTTTGTGGCCTTCCACTATGTTGCGATGGTTAAACTTAATGTCCCTCACGAGGCTTCGTGAGTGACGTGATTGTTGGCCCTCTGCGGGGATTCGGCTGAAATCCTTTCGCTGTTTTCAACACTTTTTACATCAACCCTAAAGAAAACCTACAAAAACCCTAGGAAAACCCTAAAATTAACCCCAAAGAATCCCTAAATGAACCCTAAAGAAACCCTAAAGAAACCCATATGAAAGTGTATCAAGTGAAGTACCTGTGGGGCGTAGCGCCCTGCGAGCAACACAACTTTTCACCATGGAAGTGTCCCAAAATGGGGATACCCCCCATCCAGTCGTGGATGACCATGTTATACCATTGAAACGTATTGAAACTCATTGTGACCTGGGAATCGGCACGGTCAACGGCACCATTGGACACAGCTTGCCGCGCCGACGCGGAGTCCTGGCGAGGCAATTGTTTTTCGCCGGTCCAAGGTGTGTTGGCTGATTCATCATACCCTCTGGTAATTTAACATAGCTATGGAAAGATCCACCATGTTTAATGGGAAAACCCACTATTTCTATGGCCATTTTCAATAGCTATGTTAAATTACCAGAGGGTATAATGATAGTCAGGTTGATAGATATCCCACGATTCATGATGATGAGTGGATATAAATGGGATATCAAGTATGATCATTCCTGTTAATAGATATGAAACTATCACTTGGTTGATAGATACTGCCCAACAAAAACATAGGCTGTATAACTTGCTATACATACTTGAAGAGTTTGCTATGGAAACCAAAGGTCAATCATCGAACTATATAAATCGACAAGTGTCCATGTGTTACCAAGGGGTAAGTCAACTGGGATAGTCATTGGCAAACTTTGGTGGAAAATCACTGAAAATCCAAACTGTCTGAAACCACTGACCAGCAAATTAAAACTGGATTAGGTACACCATTAAGGGTGATGGATCATCATGCTTCACATGCTGCACTCACCGAGGGTTTCTTGTCAACATCCCATCGGAACCACTCAGCTCAAGCACCCCAAGTCCAGCTTTGGTGCCCAAATCGACTAATCGAAATACAGATTTGGGTACAAAAACAGATGGAGATGGGTGGGTGGAAGGAATCAAGGAATCAGCTCCTGATCACAAGTAACTACTGAAGGCTCGCCTTAACCAAGGACCGCAGCAAAAAAAGCGCAGCGTTTTGGAGCCCTCCATGCTTCGGGTGGCCTGAAGCTGCCAGTCTGGTTAACGGTTAGGAGGTGATTGATGTTGGGGTCCAAGACTCATAGTTCGATCAACCCTTCCGAACTCAGTCGGATAGTTGAAAAACATTTGCAACCAAGTTCAACCAAACAATTTATTGCTGGGACTTCAGTTGAATCTCCAACCTTTTGAAATATTGAAATAACATGCATGGGGGAACGGCCACAGGGACCCCAGGAACCTCAGAGAACCCCAGGGGACTAAGGGCTCTGACGGTCCATCACCAGTAGTGCCTCAGCGGCAAAAATGTTGTTCAATCACTGAACACCCACTATATCATGTCATAGGTATAGTAATATTGTACGTACATATCTCTAGATGTAATATATATATATATATACATACATACATACATACATACATACATTACATACATACATACATACATACATACCTACATACCTACATACCTACATACCTACATACCTACATACCTACATACCTACATACCTACATACCTACATACCTACATACCTACCTACATACCTACATACCTACATACCTACATACCTACATACCTACATACCTACATACCTACATACCTACATACCTACATACCTACATACCTACATACCTACCTACATACCTACCTACATACCTACATACCTACATACCTACATGCCTACATGCCTACATGCCTACATACTGATAATGATATATATATATATATATTATAATATAATACATTATGTATATGTGCGTATATTGCCATATATATACGTATGTTATAGTATGATATACACATAACATATTTCCCAAGACTTGGAGCTCAAGATCCCTTTGTTTGATCACCATCACACGCTCTTGTGGCACCACAGACCTACCTTGAGCAACTGGACATATCCAACTTAAATCAGGATGTTTTTTAGTGTTTTTTACACATCATTTTACATCTGCTTTCAATGGCCCCTTGAGAGGAGTTACTCTTTGGTAAACTCCTGGTCTCCATCTCTCAGCTGCACCTTGATCTTCTCGCCGGTTGACAGCTCATGACCCAGATAGAAGTACGCTTCTGCCAAACCATTGTGCAGCCTGATGGCTTCCAGATAAAGCTCTTTCTTGTCGAACATTCTGTCCCCAGCTTTAAGCCACACCTTGATCGTCTCGTTGGCTGACAGCTGATTGGCCAGGTCTGAGTATGCAAGTGACAAGCCATTGTCCAGCCTGATGGCTTCCAAAGTAAGTTGCCTCTGGTTAAACATTCTGTGCCCAGCTTTAAGCGGCACCCGGATGGTGTAATTGGCCGACAGCTGATTGGCCAGGTAGTAGTATGCAAGTGCCAAGACATTGTACAGCCTGATGGCTTCCAAATAAAGATCTATCTTGTCAAACATTTCATGCCTACCTTCAAGCTGCACCTCGATCCTTTCGTGGGCTGACAGCTGATTGCCCAGGTTCACGAATGCGTGTGAATCTGTGGGATTATGTTCAATGACGCTGAGCAACAGCTTCTTTCGGATGTGTCGGTAGTCATCCAGCTCAGGCCCAAATTTGACCAAGATCTGGACGCTTTGATCCCTCCGCAGGCGCTTTTCCAAGACCTCAACGATACCAGAAGATGACTGCGTGACGTCTTTCACCTCGATTCCAATGTCTTGGGTTTGATAATGGTTTGATTGTAGATGGAAACGACCCAAACGTTCCGCCAAGGCGGCTGCCTCTCACCCAGGGAATTGGGCATCAATCGGCCATCGGTGACTTCTTCCATCGCATTCTTGGACACCTGCTGGTCCACAATTATAGGGATGCAGTAGTCTGTCTTGCCTGGGTAATTCTGGTTAGCGCCCAACAGGCCCTCTCACGAGGTCATCAAAGTTGGCAGTGCAGGCAGCTCAATCTGGCTCCAACTGCGAAAATTTTCAGCTGTTGGGTAATAGTTGTTGAGACGGACCGCATCTTTGGACTCCCACTGATGAGGCGCCTTCTCAGTAGCGTAGACACCGAAACCAAAGTAACTGTCTCTAAGTTCATCCATCCGTGCCAGCACCTTGGGATCTTCAAGGCTGGTTATCTTGAGAAATGAATCTTTGTCCGTGTAGTGATAAATGACGCGATCACCGGGACGAAGGCCAAAGTGACCTGTGCCCTCTCGAACATCCAATGCACAAGCCCACATTTGGATCCCAGTCGGTGCATGTGCAATTTTCAAGGCATCCAGGTACCGGTAGCCACATTCCTCCAAATTATGGCCTGCAAAGTATCGCTCGCGGCCGAAAAAGTCCAGCGGCTGACCAGTTTCCATAGGAAAAAGCCAAGCTTCTCTACGGGTGGATCTATGAGAAAATAGAAAAATTATGAAAAATCAATCAAAGACATCTTCAGCCAGGATGTATTATGGTTGGGAACTGGTTTCTCTATCCCAGTTGCACGAGTAATTATTTTGGGTCTGGCTCAAGAATAGGGTGCCAAAGAACCAACAAAATCCAACGAAAAATCTGATCAGAATACAACATCTCATTGAATCATGTTCGCTGCAACCCTGACGTTTGACCGTGCTGGAATTGTGGAAGGGTTGCGTATTTCCATATGTCTATGTAAGTAAACATGTATGTATATGATTGTATATGTATACATGCAACAAGTAGTGGTCGAACGTCCGGGTTGGAGTGAAAAAAACAATCGGGGCTTACAGGATCCACCTCCACCTGAGCTTCCGACCGCCTCCAACGCGCCAGCGCCTTGATGTTGATGTATGCAATGGATCTGTGAAAGTGTGAATGTGTGAACGTGTGAATATGTATGTGCAGATGTTATGTGCATATGTAGATATATAATGATATATATATATATACATATAGTGAGAGAGAGAGAGAAAGAAAGAAAGAAAGAAAGAAAGAAAGAAAGAAAGAAAGAACGAAGGAAGGAAGGAAGGAAAGAAAGAAAGTGTGTGCTTGTGCCTGTACATGTATGCAATGCATGTACAATGCAGGTATGTACAGGTATGTGTGCCCACCCGCCAAATGCGCCTGCCCACCCAAAGTCAAACATACCACCGGAAAGACATAATCTGTGTCCTTCATTCCACTCAGGATGGCCCCTGGTTCATGCGCGGGATTCCTTCAGTAATCAAGCTGCTGGACCTACACCCGCAGTGGTCTCCCTTTTGAGTATCCGTACGCAAGTAGAACGAAGATGCTTTCTCTGCAGCGCCTGAATCGATCGATTTCGGGTGCCCGACAATTGGGACATGGCACGTATAACCCTCGCTGTGCTGCGTGTTGAAATGAAATTCCCTCTTGTTCAGTCTTGGTTATCTTGGTCCCACGTGCACTTTTGTTTGATCACACGAAGATTCATAGCCTGTTGCAAAACCACTTTCCCCCCAATTGCCGTGATGTGCCTTTCCATCTGGGGGACCTCATTTCCATAAAACATCATTAAATTATCATTTGAAAAAAAAGTGAAGGCTGCACATCACATCCCAATGGCCTGCACATCGAGCCAGGATTTGCAATGCTAAACCCACCACCGGAGGATGATCCTGATGCCTGGCGGGGTGCCGAACCCTGAGGATTTTCCAGATCAGCTCTTGTTACAGGTGTGTATCTATATATATATATGTTTATGGATTTATTTTATTTATATTCAAGGTTATTCATTTGTAATATAGTGCGGTTTCTGCCTTTCAATTATTGTTGAAAAGAGAGAGGAATTGTCTGTAACTCCAACTCCAAGCTCCGAGCCAGCGGCAAAGGCTAATCAAATTGGAACTGGGGAACATAATTTACAAGCTGGGAAATTTCCTTTACCATGTTTGTTGAACGGGGGTGGTAATGAAAATATGTTTCTCACAAATGTGACTTGTCCCACGCTGGTGATACGTCTGTTCAGCTTGCTGTGATACGTCGGCCAGACCCGTGCTGATATGCAGATTAGGAGATCAAAAATGATTGTTTCGGTTAGATCCTGTCAAGAATTCAGAGCACTGATAGATGAAATACGTACAACCGTGCTAAAGATTGGATTTCTCACTTCATGAATTTTACCTGCCAGATGTTCATCAAAATTTCGGTTTTTACGGGTCGTTTTTCACTAAGATGCTGGGTCCCATACCATTGAATTTGCTGCACCATGCTCCGCGGAAAGTCCGTCTCTGCGAGGGTCTCCAGCAACTGCGCCAGACGTGTCAGACATGTCATATATGCATATCTATAATATATCTATATATATATATATAAATATGTGTGTGTGTGTTTATTTTTTATTTATATATCTATTGTATCTATTTACCTTGTATAAATGTATGGATGTATGGATGTATGTATGGATGGATGTATGTATGTACGTACGTACGTACGTACGTACGTACGTATATGTATGTATATGTATGTATGTGCCGTGTATATTACATAGATAATATATCCGGTGATGCATCTATCGATATCTAATTCGAACAACGGATCACAATTGGTGGCGCCACGCCCCAGCACCGCGCGGGCCTGTGGACTGGGAGCGGAAGTGATCAACAAACTGTTGAACTTCAGCAGCCCATCCTCCAAGGACTTCAGCATCCGATCACCATAGGACGTAGCTGAAACCATCTGAAACCCTTAGGCGTGTGATGTATGACAAAATGGATGGCTTACCCTCTGGTAAACTAACATAGCTATTGAAAATGGCTGTTTGTAGTAGATTTACCCATTAAAAATGCTGATTTTCCATAGTTATGTCAGTTTACCAGAGGTTATGGCTTGAAGCTTTGAGGGGTTTGAGGTTGGCTAAGACAAACTGCAGGCAGTCCTTGATGTTTTTGGCCGTGGCCTGCATGAGATGACTGGACAAAACAGCAGTTGGGACACATGCAAGCCCTGCACCGGTGATCGTATGAGTCTGGACTACGGACATTGATTGCCACAAGAATTCGTTGATCACTATTACATATTATTTCATATCATTACTATAATATCACCACCGTTTTAAGGGGGGACGTACCCAAAATGCAAGCTACATTTTCCCAGGCGTTTTTGAGGGGGGCCTTGAAAATGTAAGCTTACAGTTTGAAGGTATTTTGAAGACCCTCCCCGCCAAAACGAGGGACGTTCAGCGACCAATTTTACACTTAAGGGGTGGTCACAAAAAATGTATCTTACATTTTGGTGTGGTCCCCCCCTGAAAAGTAGCCTTAAAGTGGTGGTAATGGTATAATTGGCATGTTATCCCAGTCGAGGGACCATGTCCCCATCAAAGAGGTGCCAACTGGGTCAGTGACAGAATCCAGCGCACCTCGGAGCAGCTGATTAACTCCACCACTGACTCCAGAAGCGCTTCGTTGACGACCTTGAACTCCTGAAGACCTGGAGGAAATCTTTGGCCCTGGTGGTTGTGCCACCATGTGCCACCTTCCGCAAAAAGGTGAGCTATCGAAGATCGTCGCCGTCGTCGTCGTCGTCGTCGTCGTCATCATCATCATCAAAACGAGAGGGACAGATAAATTGCACAAAACAATTAATATTTGAAACTACCTTCAACCGGTTCCAATATTTGAGCTCTTGCGAATTGCTGGGTGTCTGAATTGCTCAATCCAGGTTGGGTCCAACCCTACTTGCTGATGTTCATCGCCTATCAGAGAAATCATGGAACAATCGTGACCGAATACTCTGACAAGTACAGTCAACTGTATCCAAAATGGTTGGGAAATCTGTCCACAAATAATTTTCCTGTTGAAAGTCCAGGCTTCCTGATGTTTCCATGGCAGCATCATTTGGCACACCAATCCATCCCCTAGGGCCAGCGCTCATGGCCAAAGAGGCCTGTGTCCTGGGCAACAGTCTTGCAATTGCTCCCAAGCTCCCAAGCCATCCATAGCCATGGCATGCCATGGCCATCTTAAAAGAGACTGAGGCCGTGGCAAAGATGATGCTCGTCAAAAAAAGCTGCACCCCGTAGAAGTTGGGCAAACAAGCGCTTCGCGGCTTCGTGCCAAATGTCCCCCTCTTTGAAGGGCTCCCGTCACCCGGTTGAGACGTTTCGAAACGCTGCGGGGTGATGAAGGTCATAAGACTTAGAATTCCGCATTCAACCCTGGTTCAACCTTGGACCTCTGCATGACTTGTGAACCTAACAGCAGGAAAAGCTCCAAAAGCATCCAAAAGCGATGATTCAAGTTGGCATGCTACACAAAATCCATAGCTGCAAGTTGAGACAATAAGATCTGGGCAATTGCAGGAATAATTCCTTAATTGATCTTATTAAGCAATTTGCACATAAGCCATTTTGGTCTTTTTGGTAATGTATCCCCTTGGCAATTGAGACTTTTGAGGATACCCAGAAAGTACAGAGATTTAGGGGCTGCTACCTTCTCATTGTCACTGCCGTTCACGAGGGGTGCAATGCC